TCGCCTTCGGAAGCCCATAAGAAGAGAGGAGGCAGGCTTCGGACAGGCCACAGAGAGGCCGCAACAGGCCTGCCAGCTGCCGAGGAGCGTTTGAAGGCGGCCCAAAATGCCTAACGTCGCCTTCGGAAGCCCATAAGAAGAGAGGAGGCAGGCTTCGGACAGGCCACAGAGAGGCCGCAACAGGCCTGCCGAGAGAGGAGGCAGGCCTCGGACAGGCCACAGAGAGGCCGCAGCAGGCCTGCCAGCTGGCGAGGCCTCGGGCCTTTGGAAGTGCTTGGAAGGGTTCTGCTAGGCTTGGCCACCTGCTTCACCCTGCGGTGTCCCAGGCGCCTCCCCGCCCAGGCTTTGGCTATAGGCCGGGGTCGGCGGATATAAGGATCCACCGAAAAACTTCTGAGAAGGTGATTGGACCCAATCCTGGTGCCTGCATGTGGCAGTGGATTTGGAGGGGATGTCCATGTCCTGGTGTTTCACCATCTTTTCTTCAGGGCGTTCGGCCCATGTTGGGGCTCCTTTTTTTGTGGGTATTGGAACTGATGTTTTTTCTATTTTTGTGAGTTGTATTGAAGACATTGTTCACTTTTTATGTAGAGGTTCCCGCAGTCTGGACCCAAGTTGTTTGGCCGAGCCGGAAGGATCAGGTCTTTTTGCGTTGTTGATGGCCCCTTCACTGAAAAAATATACAGGAATCCCATAGTACGTAGATTCACCAGGGATTCACCAAAAGCCTTATCCGCTCTTCCTTTCTCGGGGGGGGTATCGACAGCCCACCACTCCGTTCAACCGGTCGGGTCCGTCGGGTCAAACCCGCCAGGTCGGTGTGAATGTGCCAATCCCTGCCACTTGTCGGTCTGGTCGGTGGCATCCCCGACCTGAATCGGTTGGACAGAAAGGACGGGCGGTGCACCAGTGGTTCACATGTTTCTCTGTGCCCCTCATCAGCTGGTTGCACTGATCTTGGTATGTTTGGCGCGCACACCAACAAAAACGATACTTATTTGTGCATGACGTTCGAAAAAGATGGGTGTCCAAGCAGGTTCCAAGAAATCTCTCGAATGGGGATGGTTTGATCAGCGGAAGAGGGAAACATATATTCAAGCTGTTACAAGTCTTCTCCATTCCGGCACGGACAGAAAACCCATGTATAAAGTGTCAAACATACTACTTCGGAAAGGCGTGTGCTTCAGAAAATGAATAATTTTCCGAACACGAAAGCCGTTTTCATGCTGCCTCCGAAGAACCAGCCAGGACTTGCGAAATCCATCTACATGCCCCTCTACCTCCATCCACCTGGACTCCACCTCCAGACAAGACACATCCAGCTGAAATAGCCCCAGAATTCCAGGAGCCCTGCGCCAGGCCGGAGGAAGCCAGTTGCCGACCCGGAACCCTGGACCTACTTGGACCTCTCCTTGGAGGTCCCGACACCACCGGTCCGTGACGGGTCTCCGGATGTTCTGAAGTCCCCGGCCGTCCCAGCGATAGAAAGACCCCGGAGGTTCCCACACCCGACCCTGCTGCCTTGGGTTTGCTGATCAGGTGATGGTTCATTCCCCATGAAATCCGAACGGGGAAGATGTTTGACTCCTTCTTTTCCAGGTTCCAGGTTGCAAAGCACAGAAAACGCGACCCCCCAAAACGCCACCCAAGGTGCCTTTGCCCATGTTTTCCTTCACTGGAAACAAGAAGTCCATCTTGGGGGACTTGAACTTCTATGGCAAGGTGCGTCCGCTCCGGAGTCGCGGCGGGAGACGCACGTCCGGATTCTCTCGTCCGGATCCGTCCGCGGGATCCGTCCGCGGGATCCGTGCGGGTCCGGAGGGAGGAAGTTGGAGGACTTTGGGGAAGTGGTGCCATTCATCTCCTTCGTCTCCTGGGGGCCATCCGATCCCAGTTGGAGGATGTGTTTGGCTTGGGCGCTTGGAGTGGACACAGAGTGGCTGGTCCACTACACGGCTGGAGCGAGAACTACTTCAGTAGGTTGGAGCGAAGACGAACGCAGCACTGAATCGCACTGTGTTCGTTCAGGTGCGAAGCACGACGTAGGACGGAATCAAAAGACGCAACCTGTGATCGAAGTGCTTTTTCCAACCATTGAAAAAAGCCGTGGCAGCAGCGTGCTATACCAAGCAGCGTCTCTGTGACTTGGAACTGTTGAACAGTTTGGAGGGCCAAAGCATGTAATATATTGTAATATCATGTAATTTTGGAATAGACACCATCAAAGAAACAGCTACATTGACCCCTAAGACCACCCCAATGTACAGCAAGACCGTTAAACACTTGGAGTGCCAATTGTCCATCAATAAAGCATACTCCAATGCAAGCAAAAGAGAATCAACCAACCCTGAACTTCCAATGACTCACTCTACTCCACCTGGCAGTCATAATCCAATATATATATATATACCATATAAGTTACCATATACTATATACTCCGTATTTGCACAAGCTGAGTGACAGATGTCCTGACTGGTCCTTACAGCAGCCCTGAGAAATCCACACTCCACCACCGGAATGACCGCGAGGCGGGTGTGAACTTCTTTACCCAGCTGAAGACGGTGACCTCCGCCTGGCGGGATGACAGCCACTCGTTCTTGCGCGGCACCCGTACTTGGACTCCGGCGGCTGCGGCAAGCGACGGGAGGTTTGGGGATGAAATTCGATGTCATTTGTAGACTCTTGGATTCATGAAGAAACATCATAAAGAGGTCCTTACAAGCCATTTCTGGTTGTTGAAATATACATCGTGGGGTGTTCAGACCTGTTCAGTCCTTCCGCACTTCTGTTTGCCGTTCCCTTCGACCAAACCACCACCTCCGCCATGGAAGCGGACGCGTTCGCCGTGTTTAGCTAGCGTGCGATGAGTCGGTAGTTGAGTCGGTATAGAGATGCGATGAGGAGAGGGCGTGGGGTTTAATATCGACACCAATGGGACTGTCCTTAAGCTTGGTGAAGTAGCTTCTTGTTGCTATAGGTGAAACGATTCCCAGTGAGATGGGACTGGCTCTTTTCCCCAGGCACGAGGACTGGCACAGGACTGCCCCAGAAAGACCCTTTTGCTCGGCAACCGCCTAGGCCGTCCGGTCGCTGTTCCGCCGTGTTCGCCCTGTTCGCTCGTCCACGGACGTGAGAGACGAACGACTGTCCGACCGGACGGTGTCGGATGTGGCGGTCCAACGGTCCGATGGTGTCAAGGTCAGTCGGGTGGTGAGGTCTCACAGCAAGTTCGGTTGGTCGGTCGGTGGTCTCACAGCCAGCTCACACGTTTTGATGGTAGCAGCCGCTGCTGGAAAAGGAAAAGGAGACTTGCTTTCGGATAGAGGCAAACTCTGATTCTGAGGCGTTTTTGTTGGGCTGTGTGGGGCATTGGCAATCTTCAACAAGGACCTTCCCAACCGCCGCATATGTCGAAGATGGTTGTTCTTCTTTCGTTCGCGCGATGGTTGCGGAAAGAACGAACCGGAATTCATCCCATGGTGCCATAGAGGAATCACCCCAAGAGGATGCCGCATCTCTGAGAGCTGTCACAAAAAGACACCATCCACAGAACCTCACCTGAGGTGGTAGATCCTGAAAGGGCCCACTGCCTCTCAGGTCACATTGAGAAGCTCAGCACTGCAGGGGTTGGAGCTCAGTGAGCTGTACCTCAGCATCGCACGCAGAAAGCAGAAAGCGGAGCGTGCAGCCCTGCGCGGCATGAAACATGAGGTTGGTGAAGAAGTGTTTGAACAAGAGATCTTGTTGACATGCCTTGTCAGTCGCGCCAGAAAGCACCTGGTACTCAGATACTGACACTGTTACTTCTGAAGCTGAATACCATCTCCTCGCCTCTGAAGGAAGGTAGCTTGAAAACAAAAAAAAGCCGTCTTTGAATTGAACATGGACATGGTGGAGGCTCAGAGAGGTTCGTCTCTTTGAATGGAACTTTTAACAAGACCTGCAACTAAAAGAGAGATAGAGTAAAGTCTAATGGACGTCAGGGCATGTTGGGGGCCCGAAATCAAGGTTAAATCTTCCAAGCAATAGCATCAAAGGCTCCACCATGAGCCAATATAGATTACGGAAGTGCAACAAGATTGGACAATAGGCACTCTGAAATCACATGAAATCATTCAGCCTGCCTGTTTTGCAGGGGGAGTAGGACTTGTCCATTTGTTCCCTTTTGTTTCTATCACTTTCAACCACTCATCACCATCCTCAACGCCAATCACAGCGCTGACATTTCAATCTCCAGCGCCATGATTTCGCTTTGCTCGGTCCGGTTGCGGCCTCGAACGGAGAAGGAGGAAAAAGCAACGAAGCAAGAGAACTAATCGAAGGGACATGCAGTTAGGAACCATGAGCAAGCAAAGAAACAACAGGCCCTCTCGGTCTATGTGTGAGTAGTGGTGAGTAAATCTGATAATGTTTAGTTCCAGTTCCACATGGAAGAAGCAAATCAGCACCGCATGATTGATTACTTTTAGGATCTTTTGGGAACCATCCTGCACTTATATAATTGATTAATATCAATATAATAGACCCCCAAACAGATAGATTCACACATAGAAGATGTATTGGAGACCATGCCACTATCTATGTAAGGGGACCACTACACCTCTGCAGAGATCGAGTTTGAGACTCGTGCGCGGCTCCGTACTGCTGCCGTTGTACAGATCGGTGCGGAGCCTTCCGCGATCGGCGCGCGAGGGGTCTTTTGCCGGAGAACCCTGGCGCTGGCATTGGTCACGCCGCCGAAGGGGTCCGATCGTGGAGCTGAGGTCCACAAAAGGAGGGCTAGCGGTGGGCGGCAGGTGGAGGGGAATGGACCAGTTCTGAGGTCCCACAACAAGCTGTGCAATTGAGTGATTCTGCCATGAGGGGAAGGTACCTTAAGATCCTTAAGCGTTCAATTCTCTGGGATGGAGGTCATGCAGGTGCTGTAAATGAGCAGGTGGAAGAAGGGGGCTGTCAGGTGCAGAGCATCTTCAGCTGCTTTGACATGAATGACTGCAACATCTCCTTCATCCGAATACCGGGTAGCAAGCTGCGGTCAGAATTTGTTTGAACTCCATCCAGGTGGTTGGGAAAGAGGTCGGGGCGCTTCTGGGGTCTACTGCTAGTGAAATCTCTAGGGCGATCTGTTGGTTCAGTTCGGCGGCCTTAACATATACTGACGACTGACGAACGTGTTGAAATGCCACTTGTGAAGAACTCCATATGCTACCCCCGTCGCAGAGTTGGTTCAGACTACTCATCAGCACAGAGACGAGAAACTTGTCTTGTAGAGTCAGAGTCCTGCGATTCGCCAAGTGGTCAAAGGTTTAGTCTCGCGTGGACCGATGGTGTACAGCACGGCGGAGATTTTACCCTTCTATGGACACAACACCAAGCAGCAGTATTGCGCCACTTGGCAGGGTTTTCAGTGGTTCTTTCCGGGTTCTTGGTCCTTGGCTTTGGCTTGTGAAATTATTCGTTCGGAAATGATTCCCCATATTTGTCCAAACAAGTTGGTTCTGACATGTTCTGAGGGAAGATGATGATGCTAGCAGGCACGCTAAGAATGGAGGCCTGCATACTGTATGAACAACATGGACTTAGTGGGTGGAAGGTGCTTGGGCGCATCAATCAAACGTGTGGAAGATAGTGTTTTCTTACGTACAGATGCAAAGACTGTAAGAGACTCAAAGCAATTATTAATGAACTATACTGACTGAGAAAATCTGATATATTAAAGGGGACTCGGCCTTGCACTGTCCACAACATCTTTAAATATGTTGAATCGTGACCGTGTTTTGTTGCACGATGTTCCACCATGTGCGATATCCTTCCGCGACGGTCTGAGGAGTTCAGCAACTTCTACTGGCATGACACGGCCTTCCGTTTCGTGATGCCTGACTTTGCAAAGCAGAGCTGGACGCCGCCCGAGATCGACTGCCATTTCAGCGAGAAGGCGAAGCAATCTGGGACCCTGGGGACCTTGGTCGAAGTCACGTATAGACTGTTTCATACTTGCTTTGTCAAGAGGTTGCAATCCTAATTTTGCAGGTCAGTTATTGAACTTTCAAGTTTGTCAAGAGCCGGTGGAACCTACTACGAAAAAAGTAGATGTTTGTTCAAAACACAAAAAAAGCTATAGATGCTTGTAGGTCAAGGGTCTGAATTGATGAGCGACATATGTTTTCTTTCATGTATTGTAGATTTATTGTATTTAATTTCATTAATTAACGTCGCATGTCGCCCAAGTCTTCAATGCGTCCAGCCATGCCCAGGGGTTCTCGACTCCCGACTCCGACTTATGCCCTTCTCCAATCTATATCATGGTGAAGACATGAACTTGACGTCCTTTCGTAGCTAATTATAGTAGCAAGTGCATCGGAGCAAGTGCATCGCTACGTTAGTAGGAAGCTAGTAACAAGGGCTAACGCGGCCATGCCATCCACGTATCCACCATGATTTGAGGGAGTGGATGGAACAGCACAATAGGCTCGGCCAAAGCATCGGACGACCGGACAATCGAGTCATCGAGATCTCAAGGTTCCTTTCCGTCTCCGACGTTCGACACCGATGGTGTAGAACGAACCATCGGTGTATATGGCCGGATGACCATCCGAGTATCAGAAAAGCTGCATTTCGGCTACCGGCTCTAGTTATGTACAGCTGCTTGAAGCGTCAAAACGGGTTGTCCGAATGTGTTTCTTGTTGTAAATCGCGATGAGTCAGGATCCTCGTGCCACCCAGGCCATCATGGCAATCAAGGCGTCGCTCTTCGATGACGCCGAGCCACTTGGTGTGGATCTCTTGTTTCGGAAGCAAGGACGCATGGGGGAGAGGTGGTTGTTGTTTTTCTTTATGCGGATGTTATTGTTTAAAGATGTTTAAAGTGGTTTCTGATTTTAAGATCATGATCGGGGCAGGATCGTGTTTTTTTGGTTAAACGATGATATACCCAAACGCTCCATGTATGCCACATATATGCCAATGTAGGCAATATTGTACATACATGGAGTCTATGGGTTATATGATACATGCAACCCATCCTTTCCGCCGAAGCCGCGCACGCACACGCATCGGCGGCGTTTTTCGCCGCAGCTCGGACGGTGTTGTGGGGCGTTCGGGCCAAGTGGTTTGCTGTTGAAAGGACATCCAAAGAAGATCCCAGACACGACCTGTTTGGGACTGCCAGGACGGACTGCCAAGAAACGGCCAGGGGTGGTGCCAGGGGGTTTGTCTGGGGTGGCAGTCCTATGGCAGTCGCATTGGAGTGTTTGGGTATAGCAAGCTGGATCAAGGTCTGAATGAAATTCAGGTCTTCACTGAGGATGCCTCAATTCCCCTTGAGCAAATCCAAGTTCAATAGAACAGTTTTCAGAAGCGGCGGATTCAACAGGAGTTTTGCTTCGGTCTTGTCCACAGACCTTTGCATATATGGTGAACTAGCCCCCCCAAAAAAAGTGAACAAACACGCACGTTGTACGTCTCGTAGTCCATTTTGCTTTGACCAGTTGAACATCTTGGTGCAGCTGTTTAAGGGCAAAATCCTTGCAAAAAGGTCTCAAAAGGTAGTGCCATCACATGCCTTGGGGCCTATAACTCTGCTGGAGTCTGCCTCGCGGCCAATGTGTGGGATGAGTTGAACCCCAAACATCCCGAAACCACGCTGCGGGCTGCTGCAGCGACCTGAATCGCTGGCACTTCCAAGACTTGACCAATTCGACCATAAGAACCCCCCTCCTCACAAGCCCCGAGTCTGTTTTCTGCAGAGGTTCTCACCGGTATAGGATTCCTTGAGTCATTAATGGGTAACAAGAACTGGCGATACGATTTCCTTCGAGGGTTGCCACAGATTCTCAATCTGTAGGAACGTCTTGAATCGCCTGACCGTATGGCAGGAGACCTTGGTTGTCCACCGAACATGAACAACATGGACTACCAGACATGGTTATACTCGCGTTCACTCCAGGTGTTAACCGGCAGCCGACAGCCATATGAGTATTTCTTAAATAACTCCAACGTCCGGATTTGGTTCCTGAAATACCCATCGGCGCTGAGGGCGATACGGAAACTGTTCATCAGTACTCCTTCCCCATCGGGCTCCAGGTAGACCTCAGAAGGTATGACTGGACAACTGAAAAAATCCATCCAGCCCAGCCAGACCTTCATTTCGCTACGACGCGTAGCGCGCTTGCTTCGATTCCCAGCGTGGTCGACACGGCTCGAGAGCAGCTCGGCCTGTCGAGAGCAGCTCAGGACCTTCAAGCTCATCGATGCAGCGGTCACTCCGAGCGAGACCAAGGCGGGCACTGTTTCTGGCACTAGCGTTCCCATTGGGGTGGTGCCAGGGGTCAATGGGGCGGCATATATATGGCTATAGTCTATCCCATAGGTACCCCAGGTGACGGGTCCTGGTTCAGGTCACTTGACCTCTCTTGGTTGTTTCATATGAAGAATGGTCATGTTGATATTGTTGATGCCTGGTAGTCTGGTGTGTTGTTGGTTCAGAGAGTTGCATCTTCCGTTCGAGCCGCTATGGATGCCATAGAAAAGTTTATCGTGTGTTACTTTGATGTAGTTTGAGCAAACCTTCACAGGCAGCACAAGCCACCAAGCATCAGCAAGCTGCCCAGAATCATGCAGCACTGGTACTCACTCACATTCATTCACCACATAAGAGTCCGGTTTTGCTCCTTGCTAGAAGCACGCACACATTCCAAGAGAGGTCAAGTGAACTAGGACCCGTCACCTGGGGTACCTATGGGATAGACGAACTAGGGTTCTTCAACCTCTGGTTTGCAGCTATACCAAGAAATGCTCCAACACTGGGCTCAACTGCCCAGCGTACGCCTCCCCACACGTCCCACCGTCGCGGTTGACTCGATCCGACTGCAGGCCTTGGGAAGGATGGTGAAGAACTTCAACGAGGAGCTTTGGTCCAAACACCTGGACCAGGCGTTTCATGTCCGGAACCTTTCGCCTGTGCCGGGCGTGTCCGGGGTCGTTTTGATGAAGCGACTGACGTTGGGGATGAAGAGACGCCGTCTGAGGGTCCGTCGGTGGAGGGTCCGTCGGTGAGACGAGATGGAGGGTTGGTCTCTTGGTTCTGCACATCAATTTCTTGCTGGGTCAACGGTCAACTGATGTAAATTGGAATGTACTGATGGAGTTCGAAGCGAGGCCTCAATGGGTTTCTGCGTTTCTGGGACCACCCCCCCCCCCGCAGCTCTATGATGCTCTATGCTCTATGTGAGTCTATTTAGAATACCGATTACCCAGACCCAGATCACAGCTCGCGTCCATGTTGGCTCCCAAAAACGGTCAGTCCGGTCGGTCGGTCCGGTGTCGATCCGAACGAACGTCGACGACTCGGTCGCGACGGCGAGGATCAATGGACGTTCTTCGGCCGATCCACCTGGGTTCATAGGGTTGTGGGGCGATCGTGGTGGAGTTGGATATGGTGCCAATGATCGGTACAACCTATTCAAACTACTCCGGCCCAATACGGTGCTGCGAGATAACATACGGTCTGAAGAGGTACGACAATGGCGTGGTTCCGCAATGTCTCCCAGGTGTTTGTCCACCAATATCAACCTGCTGTCTGAAGAGACTCCACCACTTCTGCAAGGACGTCTTTTTTTGGTTCATGACGTCGCAGCATCAAAGATCGCCTGCGCCAGACCGCCTTTGAAGTGGTCTTCCAGAAGTTCAATTCCTCAAAGAGCCTCAGCTTTCAGAAGAGGTGCAGGTGGTCCCGGTATAGGTGGCCAAACACATATGACTAGGTTGATTATTACACCATTTGCTTTGGTTGGATTTGGTTGATTTTCACTGGCACTCCGAACATGGGAGTGGGAAACAAAAACAGTTTCGATAGACGAGGAAAGTGGTCTTTATGGAACATGAGGAACCCCCGTGGAACCGTGGCCCTGTTTGTATGCGGAGATCTATCCCAGAGACGGGATCGGATCGGAGATGGGATCGGATTGGCCATGGACCGAGGAGATTGAGGGAGTTGCTCTTGAAGACAGGGAAGACCCTGATTGTGGAGGCAGGGAAGACCCGGAAGTTGGGCCATGGACCTGATGGACTGTCACATGTCTCGACATGTGTCAAGTCTAGGACCTCCCCAGTTGGGATAGAACCATGTCTACCACCATCTACCACCCATTGATTTATAAAAATGGGGGTTCCTCTGAAATTAATGCACAACCGTATTAAGAAGTACGTGTTAAGACCAAGCATTTGAGCCTCATTTGAGCCAAGCATTTCTTGGGCCGACGATGTTTGGGCCATGGACCTGGGAGCTGCCCGCCGACGTCCAAGGTGTCAAGGTGAGTTTTGCCAGGAGGATCGAGGGCATCGGCTTCCTTATTGACCGATTTGAAGGTGTTTCCGTGTTTCCCGAAAAGAAAGGAAAGACAACACCTTGCTGGCTATAGGCTATAGGGGAGTTTAGACGACCAAGCCAGGTCAAATCAAATCCTTTCTTTTAATGGATCATTGGAAGGCTACGGGGAAGTCCGATTCTATTGTTGGAACGCCTCTCGTCCCGGTCTCCGCGTCCAACAGAGGTGTGAAGCACTTCTAGCAAGTGGAGCGGCCCAAGAAGCCTCCAGAAAAAGACCTGTTGAATCTGGTGGGGTTGTGGTTCTGAACTTAGGTGATTTCGATCGATCTCACCCAGGTCGGGCCAAAGAAACAAAGAATCCACCGCTTGCGAACCAACTTTAGACCTTGATTCTACGTGACGTGGTCGCATTGTTGAGTTGATGCCCAGATTGTGAAGTTGAGAGCACACAGAACCAGCCTCTTAGAAGCCCTCAAGTCATGTCCACATGACTCATCTTACTCCGGTCGTGGATGCCCTACTACCTAGGTGGGTCATTTCCTGACAGGAAGTTCGAAGCCAAATGGCTAAACCTCTCAACCTCTCCGGTCCTCTCAGGCGGCGCCCAACGACCGCATTTGGGGAGTTGGCATCGCCAAGAGCCACTGGGTCGCCACGGCATTCGGCTTCGCGTTCTTTCGATCTTTAAAGCTCACGAAGGGTTTTTATGATGCTAATTTTTTATGTGTTTGTTTATGTTTTTGTCTTAGGGATGTGTGTGTGTTTTTTCAGGGAAATTATAAAGATTTTGATCTTGGATGTTTGTTTGGGATGTTTGGTGATTTTTGGGTCCAAGAACTGTTTTGGCCCCTCCAAAGGCGGTGACATGCGACTCGGACTTCAGAAGATGCGGCAGTACCGTCGTGTTGAGACCGGTGGCGAATTGGATGCAACTCCACAGCTCATCATGTTCGCAGATTCTGGTTCGATCGGATCCCAGCTTTGAGGCATCATGACCCACAAAGGGCAAGCCAATCATTGGACCTTCTCGGATAGTATCAGCACCCATGGATACCCATGGTGTAGACTTTGCCATGCCATCTCGCCAGTGACTCAGTCCTGAACGTCCATTGACCCGAAATCGGTGGCGTTGCGCGGTGATCGCCGCGGAGACTGTCGACGTTTCCAGGCGATCGCCGTATTTGGGATCCAAAGCAATGGGACGCCTGGCTGGGCGCGGGTTTTTTCTGATTTTCTTCTGGGTGTGTTCCAAGATGGACACCAAAGGAAGTTAAAATACGGAGGTTTCTCAGATTGACCCCGTGGAAGAAGGGAAACAGACCAAACCCCATTAGTTGGGGATCTCCCTAAGACCAAAAAATACCCAAATATCAAGATTATTTTGTCAAAGCCAAAGCTCAACACGCCATTCCAACGCACTATATTATGGAAGTGGAAAGAAGTATCATTGTAAAGAGGAAGCGCCATACTCAAAATCCATATTCGTCAGCTGGAGCTGATCTCATTGCTTCGGGACCCACATTTGGATGATGAAGGCACCGCTTTGTTGAGACTGCATATGTACCTAGGACCCTTGATTCTTTCCAACAATGTACCAATCATGAGTGTTACAATAGTTGTTTGGGTCTATGAGGGGACTGGCGCTTCCAAACAGGGGACAGGTTTATAGACTTCTCAATAGATCCACAGATAGGTGCTTGTGATTTACCGTGATTTACCTACTCGTAGCAGGAGCAAAGCAATGTTATTTGGTGTGTTTGACTTTCCACCATCACCCATTGAACCATGCCTGTGGCACTGGTCATCCCGAACGGAGAAGACATATGCCAGCTGCCCCATGTCACGATCGGTGCTGGAGAATGCTGGAGAGCTTTGCACATCACATGTAATTGTACCGCCTTTAGCATGAAGCACTGCACGTGGAAAAACTCATTCATGTTCAGCATCTTTGTCTCCATTTCCTCCAGCCGGTCTTTGGCACACCGTTGGATGAGGAAGGGAAGAATGTGTTGGGAAAAGCCTTGATGCAGGTGCCGGCACCGAAGGTGGTCGCGAAGTTTGCTGGGGAATCTTGAGGGTTTGTTGGGGCAGCATGTTCTGGGTCATTGAACCCCTAGGAAGTCGCAGTCCTACGTGAATGAAAGGGTTTTGAGGGTGAAGCTTGTCGAGGCTTCACAGATTCAGAAATGAAAACGTGTCAGGCATCCAATGTCCATAAGATGTTTGTTGAAAAAGACGGCAACAAAAACACATCAATGTAACAACGTACACTTTATTTATTGATCAACTCTCGTTTTAGATCATTTAGTTAGTATCAACAAAGAACCTGAATATAAACTGGCGGAAGGTCATTTTCCCTTGTAATCCAGACAAGCATTGGACTTCAGAAGCAGACTGCTTGGAACACCATCCGCCTTTCCAAGCATCAAGGTCCGTTCTCAGTGGCTTTTTCCAAGGTCCATCCCAAGGTCCATCCCTTGCTCTTCCAAACTCCATGTGCTGAGCACTGGAGCGACACGGACACCAGGCGCGCGATCGGCTCATGGGCGGCCCAGCGGAGGCAGCACCAGAGCCGCAGCGGATTGACTCCGCTGGAGCGTCCGAGGCTGGACACGGGGGGAATTGGAGTCAAACAAGTCTTAGATGAATTGCAGAAAGACATATGTATATATACCCTAGGGATCCAAGTACCTTCTCAGAAGGTGTTTGGGGTGGCTGTGGAGGGTCCAAGTGCCTTCTGAGAAGGTACTTGGATCCCTAGGGATATATATATATGATTTATAATATAACTATATAGTTATATAGTTAATTAGCCTTAAGGTATATCTTAGTAATGTAATAGTAATGTAGACTCTTGATTTTTGAGCTCCCCCTATATGAAGAGTTCGTTGAATCCACACTGGGGTGATTAAACAAAGCAAGCGTCTACCATCTACATTATTATACTTTTAGATAGGTGCGGTCCCTCCTTGGTTGACCTACCTGGCAGGTTGTGCGCTACATGGTGGACCAGGGCTCCAGGTTTTCAAGGGTTTTGACCCATCCCCCCATCCCCACATCAGTTAAATTTGCCATGATCCTCTGACTGACAGGTGCTTAGAGATATACCCCCATGTATATGCCATACCAGGGGCGTTCAAACCGTCAAACAAAAGACCTTGTTTCTCCTAGCAAAGAACATGGCTTCTGTTTGTGAAAAACTGTTTGTTTCATGGTGATTCATGGTTTTTCAGGGCCACTGGTACATGAAGTGGGGATATTTGGATTATCCGAATTCTGTGAGTTTGAGGAAGGGGCGCGTGATGTGTTTCCTCTCTGGTTTCTTCGCCAATGATTGGCCAATGGCCAACTGAAGGCGTACTCACAGACATGGTGTGTCTCTTAGCTTGAGCCATTTGTTTGACCGGTTTGTTCTTCTGTTTTTTCATGCCTATAGACCCTTGTTAGGCTAGGCAATGATATATACCCAGAATAGGCAGAAATCACGTTGCCCAAAAGGAACTTCTCGGTGTGTGTGTGTGTGTGTGTGTGTTCTTCTTTTAATGTTTTACTTTACAAATCAACCCACTCACCTGACGACCGCTTCCTGGTTCGCTTCCTGTCCTGTTGCTTCCGCTGTTCCCTTTAGGCCACCACGGCTGCACCGGATCCCAAACGTGGGCGCTGGCAGAAGTCCGAAGCGGCGAAAGCGAAGGCGAAGGCGAAGGCGAGAACGGCCGGACTGCCATAGGCCCCATGGGAGAGGCAGTCCTATGGCAGTCCCATGGCAGTCGTGTCTGTGATTTTTTCTCGGAGACGGCTTGGATTTGTTTCACTTTGAGAGGCTTTGAGAAAGAAATCGACCCCTGCTGATCCTGATGAGGGAGAATTGAATCAGGAACAGTTGGAGTTAAAGACATGTCGTTCTTATTTTTGCCGGGTCTTTGCGCGAAGGGCGGGCCTCCGAGTCCACCATTTCTGGCTGGAATCTGACCGGATCTACAACAACCCCAGCTGGATCGGGGTTGGGATGGTTTGGGTACGCACACGTGGCATGCTCGCTCGTGACATTCGCGGTGTGGTGCTGCGGCATGCTTTCTTTCTACAGAGAGCATTGAGCGAGGAGAAGTTCTGCCCAATTTGCAAATTCTGCCTGCAGTCATTTTTTGAGGCCTTTCTTGAACAGGCTGAAATTTGAGCCTTTTTAGAGGATGCAGTGCATACAATTTAACGAACGTACGTTGATCTGGCAGTTTGCTCTTGTAGTCTGAAATCCAGACAAAAACTGAATCAAATATCGCATGGAATTCTAGCACAAATTGTTTGGAGGCATGTGTTTTCTGTCACATTTCAGGCTGGGTCGCCGTTGGTCGGGTGGGCAAGTACTCGCCCTAATGAATGAGCAGGGGTCCAAAACCTGTGTCGTGCGATGAAACGGCTGTGTCATCATAAGGCTGCCTCGCGCCAGAGTTTGTGGGTCGCGTAAGCTCGCGTCATCAGACTTTCGTAATCGCACATATTGCGAAGGCAAAGTCAGAAAGTTGTATATATATATATATTTATATTGTATATATATATATATGCGTACATAACCTGCCCGTAGGTATCTATTGGCATCGTATATTTATAGCAACATAGTCTAAATATTACTGGTATACGTTTGGCTCATTTGGCTCCTTTACTGTATAGCTCTACCAAATACAAGAGACAATCAAATTGCTGGCCCATTGCACTAACGCTTGGGCCGCTCAAATTGGGTGGTCGGAATCAGCAACTCCCTGACAATCCGCTCATTCGCGCCCTTGCTTTGAAAGACTTTAGAGGGTCTTTATTTAAAAAACAGTTGACCCGGTTTCTTAGTGGTGTACATTTTTTTTAGTCAAATGTTGTAAGAAACGGTTCAGGTGCTTCGATCCGGTGCTTCAAATTTACACTTCGACCATGTACACTTCGAGCAAAGCTTGGGTTGTTCGGTTCTCGGTGAGGGTTCGTCGGTGATCCGCGGGGACGAGTTACTGCGGGCCACTTGAGCACGGCGTCCCGCACGGCGTCCCCTCACGTGCCTTCTTTGTTTGTGTGGTGAGCAGTCCCAAAGTGTAGCAGTCCCAAAGAAGAAGTGACCACCATTTGGGACTGCAACATTTTGGTCCATGGGTCATTTGGGACTATTTGTGGACCCATGAAGAAATGTCCAGAAGTTCGTTCGTTGCATTCGCCCATGGGCCCATGAGGAGGACGATCATGTCCAAGCAATCCAAAGGCTTTTGAAGGTCCCGGACGTCCAAGGATTCTTAGGGTGATGAGGATGATGTAGGATGACGTGTGTACATATATATATATATATGTATATATTTATCTATTTATTAAGCATATATATATATGATATATCGCATATCATGATCTGTTAGGATGATTATCCTTTCTCGTCTATGTGACCCTCATGTCCCTTTCGGAGGTTGCTTGCGACAAGCAACGGGACATCAAGACCTTGCTGACTCAAAGTCAGGAGCTTTGCGTACCTCGCGGTGATTCTAAAGTGTAGACCTATAGGGTCTGTCCCGTAACCTATAACAGTGAAAGATTATCACCATTTTTGGAGAATGGTCATTAGAGAACCATCATACCAGAAGTAGACTCTCCGGAAGTGGTACCGAAAGTTGGCCTAAACTCGTTGTCACGCAGGGACTGGAGCTGATTTGGCGGGGTTCTTGGCTCAAACAAATTAAGATCTTAAGAGGTTGGTTGCTGAAAGAAACAGGAACCTTCCATCATGTCAGGCTTTGGGTGTGTACCTGAACCCACAAAGACAAAAAGATATAAGAAGTATACACATGGTATGGGCCTCGCACAAGGCCTCATTTGTTGATATTATACATGTTCTTGATTGGGTATCCAGGATTCCTTCAAGTTCCCTTCGATCAACTCGTGGATCCATCGGAGGAGTCTCCAGAGTGTGCGAGCGACTATGTGGCTTGGCGGCTGTGGGAAGAGCGGGCACGGGAAGTGACACTCAGGGATAGAGGCGACAGGATCTACATAGGTGATTTGTACATTCTGATACATTCTAGCTACTTTTTTCAACATTATATTCTATATATGCTATTCTTGTTGTTGGAATCACAGGAGGTAACGGTCTTCCACACTGATGGTTAGGGACGCACTCCTGTGTAATTGTTACTCCTGGTGCACGCCCCATGTACGGTGGCTACTGGTATAGACAGTCATCGAACATGTACTGGAAAACTGGGATCGATTGGGATACCATTCCAGGAGTATGCTCTCGTGATGCCATTGAGGGGGCACCATCTCATGGAAGGTGTTCACAAAACTTTTGAAGACCTTTGATCAATCACATTCAGAAGTTGAAGCCCAGGATGTTCGATGACACATAAGTCTGATGACACAGGATATGGACGGAACTTGAAAGGAACTGGACTTGAAATACCCGGAGATCTGGGAGATCTTCCGAACCACAAGAACCTTCCGCAGACACGACTAATGGGACCGGCATATTTACCGATCAGGCCAGGGGTGGTGCCAATACCGGGGTCCAACATATGGAGCATATGCCAGTCCCATGGCTCGTGTCTGGGATCGGCTCGGTCCGGGTCCGGGTCGAAATAGACCTCGTTGAGCCGACGGGACCGAGGATTGCTATGTGGTGTTGGACTTCGAGGCGACCTGTTGGGAGGGCCGACATGCAGACCAGGAGAGAGCGTTCCGAAAGGGCGCACCGCGCGCCCGGGCGCACGCGAACTCGTGGGACGTTCCTGTTGTTTCACCGTGTTGGCGCCGAAGTCATGTGTACACCAAAAAGTTCAGTTAGTTGTTTGTTTGTTTGTTT